AAAAAACAAAAACAGCTTGATATCTACGATCTAACAAACCACCAAGAATTTTTTTTTTATTATTGTTAGCCGGTTAGTTTGCTTTAGCTGCCTTTTAGGCGTGTGGATTATGCCCAAAAAATTTCGAGAGGTGTTCGGGTGAAAGTAACCGGTTGAGACCAATTGTAGTTGTTAGCTTGCACAGAAATGCATTTACAGTCAATTTTAACCAATTTTCTACTGATGCCTTCATGTCGAAAAGCGAAATTTTAACTTGAACTCGCTATATCTCAGAAGTTTTATTATCGATTGATTTGAAATTTTTACACACTAAACTAGATACTATTCTAAAGAAACTGAGCTTAACTGCAGTTCTCAAAACTTATCAAAAACAAAATGGCGGATTTTTAAACAAATTATGGAGACAGTTTTTTCAAATGCAGAAGTTGTATTATAAAGTTTGAATTTTTGTTGTTGCTTTAATGCAGCATTATGGACAAATATCTAAGGAAGGTTTTAGGTTTAAATACCAAGTAGTTTCAAAGTTATAACAATATTATGATGACGGCCACAGGCGGGCGCTCCCCCTAAATGACAAATATATTCACATAGCAATTGTGCAAGTAATTTTGGATGTAATATTAACTAAAATGTTGAAATTCATAAATTTATCAGTGTTATAGGACTTATACAAGCTCTTTATTATAAACTTAACTTACATATATATCTACCTAACTACATACAGTGGTGGAATAAATGATATAAACTTTTTATTTTGACCAGTTTTGGCTATATTACTTTTGTTTATTCGATGTTTAATATTTTTTTATAAAAGACTAGTGCATTATATAACACGCGTAACATAAATCTACATTTCACACTTTCTACAAAAATTATAAAAAATCAAAAAATTTTACCAAAATCTCTCAAATATCTCAAACTTTTAATCAGATCTTTTTGAAAAAATGTTTAGTATGCAGTTTTGTAGGCCATTAAATTTTAGTAGAATAAAGTGCAAATTTTAAGACGCTAGAAAATCGCGTTAATTTTTAATATATTTTTTTTGCTGACTCTGCTAAGCATTTTCTTCCGTATAAAAAGAAATTTTGAGTATGGTCGAGCATAGTACTTTATATGGAGGAAAATGCACAACATCGCTAAGCTTTGAATCCAGTGATTTTAGGGGTTTAATCCCTCCCCCCTGTGGGAGGGAAATCTACATAAAAATTTACCATCATTTAGTTTAAGATGATAATGGTAAAAAATATTTCGAGATCTCAACAATTTTTATTGGGTTTGAGGCCGTTTCTAATGGTGACCCAGTGACCGCGGTGAAGAAGTCTGGTGAAGAGATGTGATGATAGTAGTTATAAATTCTACCTATGGGTAAATTATTATTCTTTTCCACAACATTTTTTCATTAGAAAGGGCCTCAAGCTCAATCAAAATTTTTGAGTATAATTGTTAAAAGGCCATAAATAACAAAAACAAATTTCAAGATAGCCGCAAAACTTTTTATTGTAATAGCTTAATGGTGACAACATTGTTTTCCTTGAAATTAGGGGAACGAATGGTATTATGGATTAAGCGGCTAATGGGTACCACCTATTTAAAAAAAAAAGCGAGAGTCATTTAAAATAGCGATTGAAGCACAAATGAATCCTGTGAATGGAAACCAATTAATATATAAAAATATTGCAGTCAAATATTGTCTTATATATATACATATATGATATTATAGTATGCATTGGATTTTCACCCCTTTCGGTGAAAGTATTGCGGGCACTTTATGAAACTTACGTTTTATGTCTAGTCCTGTATTTGCACATTACACGTTTTTGTTCTAAAAATCTATTTTTTAGATTTTGAATGCTTATTATTTATTTTTTTACACGTATAAAACTAAAAAATTACACTACCGAGTATTGTGGCTTATTTGTATTTTCGCTATTTTAACTATTGGTGCTAATAATTTTGTCATATTTTATTATTTTTATAGTCTTCTGGAAGCATGAGAAAGATATATATTTGTACAAGAATTCAATGTACAGTTGTTGTACCACAATAACCAATGTAAATGGCACTTCTTTTTGAAGCCTATAATAAACGTTAAACAATTTTATTCAACTTGGTTCTAATTTTTTCTAAAATAAAATAAAAACAAATAAAAGTAAAGAACAAATGACTAAGTGACCATCAAGCCAAGGTGCAGGAATGGTATTTTCAGAGATAGAAGTCGAGAGTTCTGGCTTTAATTTAAGCCAGGAAGGTTCTATCACCATTTATTTTTTTGCCTTTTTCGACATGAAGGCGTCAGTAAAAACTTGGTTAAAATTAACTGTAAATGTATTTCTGTGTATGCTATCAATTACAATTGGTCTCAACCGGTTACTTTGACCCGAAGACTTTTTTCATTTCTAGAGCACTAGGATAATCCGCACGCCTATTTATACGGGTCGTTTTCGGACGACTGGAAAATTGACTACCCAAAGCATTTACATTTTATGGTTGAATTTGTCATTTACACTGGGTCGTTTTTGGTCGTTCAACTAAGACGATACTTTCTTTGATATGCTGTATTTACTATAATATTTAATAATATAACAAAATAATTACCAATGTCTAGTAATTGCTAATGAAGTTTAAATGATTTATTTGTTTTTTATATTTTCGTGAAATAAGCTTCTTAGAAAAAAATTAGAAAAACTTCAACTGATTTTGCACCTAAAATGGTTTTTAAGGTTTTTATTTTAGTAACTCATTAGTAACAAGTCCTTAAACATTTTTTTTTTTAATTAAACTGTTTAATAAAATGCTGTGTGACAGTATGGAAATATACCCTGCATTGAAAAATTATCAATTGTTAAAACTAACCAACTTATAGTTAGCTTTTTGGCGAGATTTCGATTAATACCTCACTTTTAATTAGCTATGACAAAACCAACTTAAAGTGAATTGTAAAGTCGTGCAGGAGTCATGCAGACGCAATCGGGAGTTGGTTTTCTTTACAAGTTTCTATTAAATATCCTCATACAAAAATTACTTTCAATACACTTTTTTTCTGAACTTCGCAGATTCTTTTTCATATTCAGGACAAATAAAAGGAAGATCGAAATTTTATACTATCATTTTGAAGTTATGTCTGACGGTGTTCGAATATGGGGCCACCCAGAGCAGAATATGTAAACAAATATGAAATGTAATAAAATAAAGTAAATAAAAAAGTAAAAAAACAAAAAAATATTTTGTTTTTCTTATTGATATTTTATGTCCAAAAGTAGTTAGTTACAAGTTAGTTGACATATAATGCAGAGGTATCCAGGTCTGACTTTTTTGCGGCCATCGCCCCACAAAAGTAGTTAGCTTTTTTCGAACAAAATACACAGTTAATAGTTAGCACTAGTGTTCGCGTAAACAAACTAAAGTTAGGTATAAGCTAACGTCACTCCCTGCAGGGTATAGACGTCTCAAGTAGCACACTGGTGTATAACTTGGTGTAAGTTTGTGAATTTTGGTACAATTAATCAGATTTTTACCAAAATTTACACCAGAGCTACTTGAGGTACTTACTTATATGGTGCAATGATAAATTCAATTAAAACACATCAAATAATTTTTTGTTAATAGCATAAAAGAAATTTCATAATCTGCACAGATTTTAACGGAAGTATACCATTACAGAGGATGAATTTATCAATCTTAAAAAAACTGCCATATACATTTTGTTTTGGTTCGGTTACTTTTGCCATTTTTCGCTGCATACAGGTGGTATCGGTTGAGCAAAACAAATATTACAGCAACAAATTATATGCACAATAAGGAATGCCGTTGGGATCTAAATAGATCCGATTGGATACTTATTTTTTCCGCTCATTATAAATGTGGATACTTTTTTAAATAGGCCAAAAATGTATATTTTCTATAAAATTTTTCATTAAAGATGGTAGAAAACATTATGTTTTCTGAATGTATTAAAAATCCCTACTAAAGTGTGAAATTAAAGCATTTTTTTTGTGAACGAAGCAATGAACATATGAAGAGATCTCACCAAAATAGGTATGTGCAATTTTTTTAATTAGTTTTAATTAGCTAAAATGGATGCTTTAAACAAGATCATAATATACATATATAAAGTAAATACATACTTATTCTGGAACAATCTCTTTACATTTTCATTTGTTAATTTAAAAGAAAAAAGATCTCAATGTAGTTTAAAATACAATGTTTAAATGTGATTTATTAAAGGAATTGTATATGAATTCTACTGAAAAGACTTTATATACACTCTAAAAAATGTTTGTTTAAATTTGCGCATATTAAGAGAGGTAACCAGTTTCCTCTTTTAAAAAAATTAAACACATTCCTTTTTACTTTTACATACCAAATTTGTCGCGTAGCGTAAAATTACACACAAAGTGTCTAAAATAGAGTAAATATGAGCCCCTAATGTTTATTATTATTACGAATTGTATTTTTAGTTTCAAATTTTTTAAAGATCTCATGTTGAAAATCAAGTCTTGAACATCTTATGCGTATATTTATACAGATTCTGGTTGAAAAATATACACTTTTCAGTAGTAGTTTTACATGCACTTTTTAGAGTGTACAGATACAAATGTAACATATTAATTACTATTTATTATACTTTAGGCCGTTTTCTGAAGTAACCTCTAATTTTTAAGCCCACTTTATATTTAAAGGTTGGATTAAAAATAAAGCCGTGTCTAAAGCTAGGCATTTCTATTATCGGTTTTGACGTATGTATGTTTCTTGGTTCTAAACCAATTTAAAACCGATAATAAAAGGTTTTACTTTAGACACAATACTATATTGTAATGCAACCTTTAAATAAGTGAGTGAGTTGTGAGTGAGTTAAGTGAGCTTTAAAGTTACAGGTTACTTGAGAAAACGGCCCTTACTTTGCAAAATACAGGGTAGCCCAAATAATACCTATCAATGTTAAACACGTATAACTTCTTTATTTTTTAATATTATTGTTATTTTCTTTCTGCATGTTATAGTTAAACTCTTGGAATATCATAATGGATACTTACTACAAGACCACCAACAACGACTACAATACGCTATTCGTTTTACACAATTAGCCACACAAATTGATTTTTTAGGTAATGTTCTGATGTCGGATGAAGCGTATTTCCAAGCAAAACTGTAGATTGTGGGGCTCTGAAAGACCAAGGGCAACACACCAGCACTAGTTACACCCATCCAGATGCACTGTTTGGTGCGGTGATATGGCCGAAAAAGTTATCGGCCCATATTTCTTCCAAAATGAATTTCTGGGGCTTCTTACAGAATAATAATTACTTTTTGCGACCAACGGCAGAGCAGCATCCTAATTTGTGGTTCCAATAAGATGGAGTGACTGCGCACACTGCTAGGCACTTATGCACAAAAAATGTAACGTATAAATTAAAATTATAAATGTTTGATTATAGGAAAAATAAAAATATATATGGGCATATGTTTTATTTATGATTCTATTCGTAATCTCTTAATAAATCGATAAATATAAGTGTAATTGATTTTCATCAAGTGCTTCGAAAGTTAGACGAGGAATAAACATTTACTAGCTCGCTGAAATAGAAAACAAAAGAATTAACTGGGTTCAAACTACGCTGTGCTAATTTTAAATGTTGAGCAACGATTTTGAAAGTTGAACTCACTTAATTGGGACGTTCTAAATTCAATCCGTTTTACCAGATTGGCTCCGGTTTCCGAGATAACGGTGCTTGAAAATTTCAATAAATTTTAACTATTTTATAAATAACTACTGCCTCAGTTTTGAAGTTATTTTTACTAAAATTGTGTAAATTAAAATTATCGAAATAGGTTCACTTTAACATTACAGATTACTCAGATATGTGTTTTTGCGCTATAACCCTAAATTCATATCTGAATAATAAATTGTATGCGTGCTATATGTATGGTGACCATATTTATGCGAGCCGAATACGGGACAAACAATAATTTTGCAAATTTTTTCTATAAAAGCTAACAGATCTTAATACCTTCTTAAATGATCTTAGATGTATGTATTAGCCCGGAAACAGGATTCTTATAGTAACACCACAGATTTGTAGGATATCTTTTCTCGAGATGTTTACTCCAAACAATTTTTTACAAAAGCTTTGACTTACCGTTAATTTTTGGCAAGCTTTTTTCGACGGTGCTACGTATTTTCGGTCAAGCCGTTTAGGAGGAGTTCGACCACTAACACCGTAACACGAGATTTTCACCCGTATGCTGTAATCCGAAAGTTTGTAGCTACGAATTCGTAGCTCCGTTCCGAAAATTCGAAAATTGGTATGCTGTAACTATCAACGGCGTTGCCAACTAAAATAGTGAAATTCGAAGATCTTAATCAGCTGCTTTGACAGAAACAAATCAAAATAGCAAGTGAAAATTAGTTCAATCATTATTTGAAAATACTTTTCCTTAGTTAAGTAGAATACAAGGGATTCAGTGGCCGGTACACTTTTGTCCCAGGAGGAAGAACAGCTAACAGTTGCATTAATATACAAAGGAGATTGCTAGGAGACTGTTCTGATATTGTGCCGCTTTAATTCTTGAAATGCTTTCCTAAAGTTCCACCACATCCTCTTAAGCTCCTTTTACAAAGTCTCGACCAATGTCCGGCCTTTCGCTCATGCATTCCACCAGTTTTTCGTATTGCGAGCGATTTATTGTGATCTTCGATCCGTTAATTTTGTAAACATTTAACAATAAGTTTTTTTCTATTCACACTTCAACTAACATACATATTTTTGCGTTTACACACTTTATTTTATTGATATTTTAAAACAATTTGTTTCGCTCCGACACGAGTTGCTCTTCGTACAAAATTTCCGACAAATACATAAAAATGACAGCTACGTCGGATTCAGGCATACCAACATCATGATTCAATAATTAAAGGTTTTCTCATTATTGACATTAGAGTTTTGACACTCCCTTAGCTCCCTTACAAACGCTTTGCACACCCACACGAACCCACATATAGTGCCTTGCTAAGGGAGCCGATTTTGTCAAGAGGGAGCGAGAACCTTTTATTATTGAATCATGTACCAACATTACGAATTTCAAAGATGGCCTACGAATTTCGAAATTACGATACGACAACGCGGATTTCAGCATACCAATTTTAGGATTCGTAGCAAAATCGAATCTATGACGGATTACAGCATAGGGGTGTTTTATATATGAGATAAGTATAGATATGCATATCAAGCGAAACGTATTCTAATACCTGTACAACGATGCTAATTTTGTAAAAAATAACACCTTCGGTGCTTATTGGCCTAACTTAATAAATATGCGACGGTAATCAGTAAAACATAATTATAATTGCTGTCCGTTAGCAATGATCGGGATCCGGATAAAAAATTTGCACGCAAATGCAATAACGATATGATCCTGATAGAGATCTGATTCAATTGATGATCCGCTGTGCTTGTTTTTTTTTAACTCCCTTTTATTAGGTCAGCATGTAACTATGTAATATTTATGCGCCTGAAAGATGCAGCGATTTCTGTTCTCAAGTTACATACCTGATGACAGTACGAATGGAAATTATAATGGCGAGGTTTTGGTTTTTTAAAATATAATTTTTTTTGTTTACTGATAATTTGCTGCACGGTTTGGTAGCACTGACAAATGAATGTATACACAAACAGATATTCTGCCATTTGTTTCTCTTAACAAGAGACCCAGAATAATAATTATTTCATGGTGGAGTTTTAAAAATGTCATCAAAATTTTCGTAAGAATTATAAAAGTCTTTAAATAATAATTATGTGTTTTAGGAAATTTTTTTTAAGTCATCGATAACTATTATTTTAAGACTTATATAATAAAAGTCTTTTCGTAATAATTATCAACGAGATATATATTTTTAAGTCTTCAAAGACTTTTAGTTTTAGACTTATATTATGAAAGTCTATTCATAATAATTATGAGAGCGAAAAAATTCTTTAAGTCTCAAAAGACGGGGCCTGTTCAGGACCATTTCGGAATTAGTTTGTGGTCACTTCGGGATTACTTCGGGGCTAGTTGGGGGCCAGTTGGGGACAACTATTCCCGAACTGGTCGCCAACTAGCCTCGAACTGGCCCCACCTAATACCGAAATGGTCCTGAACAAGCCCCGTCTTTTAAGACTTAAAAAATTGTTTCGCACTCATAATTATTATGAAAAGACTTTTATAATATAAGTCTCAAGACTTAAAAATAGTCTTTGAAGATTTAAAAATATTATATTAAGCGAAACGAAAATTTACCACAAAGAGCAACAATCTAACAATTAAGTTAAAAAACACAACGATAACGATATTTCAGACACATCTTTGATGAACAACTATTTTTGCTTTCCGTTCTCTGTGGCTTTGGCACAGAAGTTGATTAGTTCCTGCCGGCGATGAAGTCCTTTCAACCACGAAAAGCATTATTCGCAAGAACTATTCACAAAAATTGTGTTTTTGTTACACTGTACGGCAAAATCAACTATTTTTCTGGGTATTGGACCAAACCAATTTTTGTTAAGAGCTTGAGTCATAGGTAAAACAGTGACTTCTCCGTTTTTCGAAGTTGACCTCCGAAATCGAGATATGGACCTTCGAAGTTCGAAATAGGACCTTTGGTAAAAAATTATATTTAATTATTGCATGTAAATAACTAAAAACCTAAAAATATAGACGTAGTCCTCCTTTTCTCTTATTTAAATTGTATATAACTTTTTTGTGCAAATTTATATTACAGGTGTTATAAGAGGTCAAAGTTCAGGTCTTCGAAAATTTATATTCCTTATATTGCAAACAATTTTGAACTGATTTTTAAAAAATTGATATCGTTAAGGTGATTAAACCCCCTTTCTTCCGATATGCATATTTGTATACTGCGCATATAAAAATTTTAGAAAAAACATATTTAAATGAAAAAATATTTTAAACAAAAAAATGATTAACAAATTTTTAAACAATTTGTATTGTTGTAAAGACAATTAAATCCCCTTTCTTCTGATATGCATATTTGTATACTGCGTATATGAACAATTGAGAAAAAACACATTTAAAGGAAAAAATACCTTTTTTAATAAAAAAAAAATTTAAAAAAAATTTATTAGCCGACTTTTAAAAGGTTGGTATCGTTATAAAGGCGATTAAACCCCCATTCTTTTGATATGCATATTTGTATACCTCGTATATAAGAATTTAAAAAAAACATTTAAAGGAAAAAATACCTTTTTTTATATCGCTATAAAGGCGATTAAGCCCCTTTCTTCTGAAATGCATGTTTGTATACTTCGTATATAAAAATTTGAGAAAACCCACATTTAAAGGAAAAAATAACTTTTTTTATAAAAAAAAAAATATTTTAAACAAGAAAATTACCAACCGATTTTTTAACAATTGATACCGTTGTGAAGGCGATTAAACCCCCTTCCTTCTGATAGGCATATTTGTATACTTCGTATTTGAAAATTTGAAAAAAAAAACACTTAAAAGGAAAAAATACCAATTTTTTCTTATAAAAAATATTTTAAACAAAAAAATTACTAGTTAGTAATACAGTTGAATACTTTATTTAAATAAAACAGAAAATTACCTTTCATTTTCATATATAACCTGTTATGTGAAAAATCAAAAACCATGGTGTTTTTATATTTTTATATTCCTTAGACTTCTGTTACATATACTTTTGCTTTATTTTTAACAGGGCTGTGTGTGAACAAGAACGAATTAATGCTTAAAACACTAATAATTATTCGTTTTATTTAAATACGGTATTCAATTGTATTACTAATTAGTAATTTTTCTGTACATTTTTTTAAAAGAAAAAATTGGTATTTTTTTTCCTTTTAAGTGTTCTTTCTCAAATTTGTATATACGAAGTATACAAACATCGCCTTAACAACGATGCCAATGTTTTTTAAATCGGTGAGTAATTTTTTTGCTTAAATTTTTTTTTTATAAAAAAAAGTTATTTTTTCCTCT